ATATCTGTTCTTATATTCTAAATTATTAACAAAAACTAAAGAAGGATATGTAACGTTATCGGTCCTGACCTGGCATCTCAACTTTAATCACTTTCACACGGCCGTGAGATAGCTCCACTTTGTATTCTGTATAAATATTTTTAAACAAATTTGTTCTATTGAGCTCTCTTCCTTTTTTAACCCCAACCGCGTGAATCTAAGCCTACTACTTGATTTGTTACTAGGTCTGTTTTTTTTGTTCACTGTTGTAATAACTATGTATCACCATATGTTCTGTTCTAATAGTTTTTTTTTTTTAGCATTTCTGGAACTCTCTTCCGTTTTCTTGCATCTCTGCCATCTGCAATCATCGAAAGTTTAAATGCAGTCTCCATCGCAATCTTCTCTCTTCCTGATACCTGATATTTTATTGCCATTTCGCCTAACTAAATTCTTCTCATTCTCTTCTACTCCAAGTAACCGCTTGCTTGTGTTTAGATTATTAAAAAAAAATAAAATAGAGGAACATTACAGAAACGGTATTATAACTTCTCCTGTCTTAAATAAGTATTTGAAAAAAATAAAGATATATTGAACGATCCGCGTTTCAGTGAAAAATAATAAGAAATCCTGAATATTTGTTTTGGGGGCTTAGAATTTCAGGCTTAAGGAAAATTTCTTTATAGAATATTTGTTGATTTTGAGGAAGTTCCATGAACAAGATGGCTGTTTTCCAGCCAAATTTCTTATTGGATTATGCTGTGAAAAACTCAGGAATCTTCGCCTACGAAAGATTGGCCAATATGTAGATATATACGGTATTTATAGCAATGCTGTCTAGGAAGATAAATGGAACATGGTGACACAATTTCAGTTCTTACAGAAGGAGTAAATAAAAACAAATTTTGTAATTTTTAATTAATAATCTGTATGTCATTAGACAAAGTATGTATAGTTATTCCTGACATATTGGAGCTCAGAAATACAAGCAAATTTTCGAAACAGTAACAAAAGTGTGTATGATTATGTCGTAACAAAGGAACTCAAAGCAATTTTATAAAGATATACTTGTAAGTTAGGGCACCATGTCACAAATATAAGGGACTAAGTGATGGTTAAAATTTTCGAAAATTATTACACAAGGATGATCGGTCATTTTTGCTAATTTAATCTCAAGCAAGGTAATAAAATTGTTATGATGCAAAGGGAGTTACTGAGTGTGAAAGGACCTGAAAATTAAAAAAACGATATTATTAAAGAGAGGGCAAGAAAAATAAAAGAGCAGTAATTAAAACAGAAAATAACGACTGACATTGCTTTTAAATTTCTTTAAATTTCGTTACATAGCAGAAATGAATTTAAACAATTCTGCTAAATAAGCCTGAGAAAATTCTATCAGTTTTATTTTTAGTGTATTTTTCTAATCTTCGAATAAGTTGCCTTGCAGCCAAATGTAAATTCATATAGTACGTAAAGATTTTAGGTATGGCCAGGATAGATGGTATTTATCAATTCACCCACAGGAATTGAATGTGGCACAAGGCCTTTTTAATGTGGGTATGTCTGAGCCCGTAGGCCCAGCCAAAAATAAAACCCATCTAAACCCGTCCAAGCGGGCTAGTTCCGTCAACCTCCCCGAACGAAACCCCACCCTTCGGCGTAGCTTCGTCCAGGTTCCCCTTTGCAAGCAGAGAGTTCGACAGACACCAGACCCGGCAGCTCACAAAGCGCAGATACTACACTTTGATCCTAGCCACCGGACCGAGCGGGTATTCTTTTTATAGATACTATGGCCAGGATAGATGGTATTTATCAATCCACTCACGGAGATCGAATGTGCCACAAGGCCTTTTTAATGTGGGTATCTCTGAGCCCGTAGGCCCAGCAAAAAATAAATAACCATCCAAACCCGCCGAGGCGGGCCAGTTCCGTCAACTTCCCCCAACGAAACCCTACCCTTCGGCGGAGCTTGTCCGGGTTCCTCTCTGCAAGCAGAGAGTTCGACAGACACACCGACCCGGCAGCTCACAAAGCGCAGATACTACACTTTGATCCTAGCCACCGGGCCGAGCGGGTATTCTTTTATCGATACTATTGCCTGGATAGATGGTATTTATCAATTCACCCACAGGAATTGAATGTGGCACAAGGCCTTTTAATGTGGGTATGTCCGAGCCCGTAGGCCCAGCCAAAAAATAAAACCCATCTAAACCCGTCCAAGCGGGCTAGTTCCGTCAACCTCCCCGACGAAACCCCACCCTTCGGCGGAGCCTCGTCTGGGTTCCTCTCTGCAAGCAGAGAGTTCGACAGACACCCGACCCGGCAGCTCACAAAGCGCAGATACTACACTTTGATCCTAGCCACCGGGCCGAGCGGGTATTCTTTTTATCGATACTATTGCCTGGATAGATGGTATTTATCAATTCACCCACAGGAATTGAATGTGGCACAAGGCCTTTTTAATGTGGGTATGTCCGAGCCCGTAGGCCCAGCCAAAAATAAAACCCATCTAAACCCGTCCAAGCGGGCTAGTTCCGTCAACCTCCCCGAACGAAACCCCACCCTTCGGCGTAGCTTCGTCCGGGTTCCCCTTTGCAAGCAGAGAGTTCGACAGACACCAGACCCGGCAGCTCACAAAGCGCAGATAACACACTTTGATCCTAGCCACCGGGCCGAGCGGGTATTCTTTTTATAGATACTATGGCCAGGATAGATGGTATTATCAATCCACCACGGAGATCGAATGTGCCACAAGGCCTTTTTTAATGTGGGTATGTCTGAGCCCGTAGGCCCAGCAAAAATAAAACCCATCAAACCCGCCGAGGCGGGCTAGTTCCGTCAACTTCCCCAACGAAACCCTACCCTTCGGCGGAGCTTCGTCTGGGTTCCTCTCTGCAAGCAGAGAGTTCGACAGACACCCGACCCGGCAGCTCACAAAGCGCAGATACTACACTTTGATCCTAGCCACCGGGCCGAGCGGGTATTCTTTTTATAGATACTATTGCCTGGATAGATGGTATTTATCAATTCACCCACAGGAATTGAATGTGGCACAAGGCCTTTTTAATGTGGGTATGTCCGAGCCCGTAGGCCCAGCCAAAATAAACCCATCTAAACCCGTCCAAGCGGGCTAGTTCCGTCAACCTCCCCGAACGAAACCCTACCCTTCGGCGGAGCTTCGTCCGGGTTCCTCTCTGCAAGCAGAGAGTTCGACAGACACCCGGCTCGGCAGCTCACAAAGCACAGATACTACACTTTGATCCTAGCCACCGGGCCGAGCGGGTATTCTTTTTATAGATACTATGGCCAGGATAGATGGTATTTATCAATCCACCACGGAGATCGAATGTGCCACAAGGCCTTTTTAATGTGGGTATCTCTGAGCCCGTAGGCCCAGCAAAAATAAATAACCATCAAACCCGCCGAGGCGGGCCAGTTCCGTCAACCTTCCCCAACGAAACCCCACCCCTTCGGCGGAGCTTCGTCCGGGTTCCTCTCTGCAAGCAGAGAGTTCGACAGACACCCGACCCGGCAGCTCAAAGCGCAGATACTACACTTTGATCCTAGCCACCGGGCCGAGCGGGTATTCTTTTTATCGATACTATTGCCTGGATAGATAACGAGCGGTTCTTGATTTGAGGAGGTTTTATATTCTTCAAAGAAGACTCGACATGCAAGTCTTTCTGAGAGGAGTTTCCGACTTACATATGGACTACAAAGGAAATAGCATCGATTCGACTCCATGGAAGTAGCTTGGCTCATCCTTGTTAGTAAAGGTCTAAACTGGTGGAAATAAAAAATGTAACTTGTCCGAATCTTTTCAATGGAAATTGTGATAGAGAAACGTCTGTGATAAAGAGCCTACAGACTAGAAAATTAGTAATTCTTCAAAACGTTTATAAACTGTTTATAAACACAAAAACTCCCGACGAATTTTTCTTGATCGATCATTTCTGCTCACGAAACGTATCTGACAACATATAATGAAATGTATAGGAATACACGTTCGATTCCTGTCGGAGAACGCATATTTTCTATGAAATTTCTCGTACATTCAGGCTGGTAAATGTAATTAACAGTGTTTAAATGAAAACAGACCATTTATTTAAATATCTATAAAAATAACGTATAAACAGAAAATATATTAAAATATATATAAACAGAAAATATATTAAATAATCGACGGAACTAATCCATTTCATATATATCTCCCTATATATATATATATATTAATATGAGTGTGTGTGTGTGAAATGATTCGATATATATATGTATATATATATATATATATATATATATTGAATCATTTCACACCAATCAAGGCAATAAAGCTATTAAGATGTAAGAGGTTAACGAGAGTGAAATATTCTGTGAAAAATAGAGAGAATAATAAAAGAACATGATTCAAGGAGACAAAATACTTCAAGAAGAATTATATTGAAAAATAATGAAAATCTGTCTTGTTTCTCCAACTGGGGCTTTGAATTCATAATCGCCATCCCCCTTACGCACCAGACTTAGCTCCATCTGACTTCTTCCTGTTTCCTAAATCCCCCCTACGTGGTCGTCATTTTGGAAACAAGGATGAGATCATATGCGCTGCGGAGGAATTTTTGCAGGATCATCTTCTTCCACGATGGGATTGTAATGCTTAAGCCTCTTTGGGCCAAGTGCATTGATGGGGGGGGATATATTGAAATAGAGTAAAAACTCCTGCATAAGGCTTAGAACTTTTTGAACCACTACTTATATTTTACGTATATTTCAGTCACCTTTATGTCCCGGATAATCCCCTTATGTTTAATTTTCAATTTCTAAAGTAAAATCATTATCAATATATTTACATTATGCGTAAAATAGTCTGATCCAGTCAGCTATGCTCCTATTAATTCATGACCGCTAACAAATCACTTCCTATCTTAAAATTTCTATCGTAAAATTATTAAAAAATATTTTTTTCACTGCATATATAATAATCTTGATCTTTTAGTAATGTTTATCTTAATTCGCAAAAAATTACAGACATATCACGTTGAAAACACCGGTTCAATATGATCACCGAAGTTAAGCAACGTCGAGCATGGTCAGTACTTAGATGAGTAATCACTTGGGAATACTAGGTGCTGTAAGGTTAAATATATGGGGGGGGGAATAACAACACGGAAATGTTAATTGGAGTGTCGAGTTTTAATTCCAGTCGGGTTTGTTATATTCACTTCCGGGCAAATACGTTAATTTTTAACGAGAAATGTTGATGGGAAAGGAAGAAGCCGACAAAGAGTTCCGCGACCGAGAAGTGCAAGACAATAAACTGTTACCATAGAACTTACGGTTACATCTCACAATTTCAACTGTAAAATGATGAGACCTAGCTGCCAATCGAGTACTGCGATTAAATCCATAAAGTCGAGGCACCAAGGAGGAAAGCTCAACAGAACAATTATCAGAAAAATATATGGAGAAAAGGCACAGAAATACTACGTGGTGGGGGATGCACTCTTAAAACATCAGTTCAATTTCTAATGCAATCTGACACTTGTAAAGATAAAGAATAGCAAAAAAAGTCATGTGCTTGATAGAGCGAAACAACCAACCGCCATTTTCTCCCTATTAAAATATAGCACTCGACATGGTGCAATGATTATTAGGTATAACAAACCAGTAAAACTGAGTTCGATCCTCGCAAAGAGCTCTAAAACTGTGACATTATGTTTGTCCTAATTTAAGTTTAAAAGGTGTCATTATATGCTCCGATGAGATGCAAACTAGACATGCAATTACTACTGTACTGCGTTCGATCCTAGGTGATTGACCTTATTATTAAGCTTTACTTCAGTTTGTTATCAATGATTTGATCATTATTTTTATGATGATAATGGCGACGCCATAGCGATGACTGTTGCTTCTACTGCTGCCTTCACTATTCAAGTCGTTGCAGCCGGAGTGGAAGAGTAACTACATTGATTGCTTCGTCTAACAGCTGCAGCTGCTGTAGAAAACCTCCTCTCACTGTACCTCATAATTTTACTTTCGTTTGCGAAACTGCCACCATTGATGTTGTCTTCGTTAACACTGTCTTCATTCTCCTTCTATTTTTATGGTAGTTTGCTAACCACAATTTTACTTCGTTTTTGCGTCTTTGACGTTTGTTTTACATTCACTGATGTTTTACGCGTTAGATTCTCGACTTAAATTTGCATTGGCTTGGTTGGCTGACTATCTATCTATCTATCTATCTATTTATCTATCTATCTCTCTCTCTCTCTCTCTCTCTCTCTCTCTCTGTCTCTCTCTCTCTCTCTCTTATATATATATATATATATATATATATATATATATATATATATATATATATATATATCTTAGTTTGTTCCAGCCCCTTCTCTCTTTCTCTATCTCTGCCTCGACATATATATATATATATATATATATATATATATATATATATATATATATATATATATATTCATCATCAGTCTGTATCTATCAATGTATCTATGTTTATATTTACATTTATTCTTTCTTCATAATTGTCGAATATAGTTTATTCTTACGTATATTTGTATGTGTGTGTCCATGTAATATCTCTCGTTCTCTGTCTGTCTCTGTGTCTCTTTTCTTTCTCTCTCTCTCTCTCTCTCTCTCTATATATATATATATATATATATATATATATATATATATATATATATATATATATATATATGTATGTATGTATGTATGTATGTATGTATGTATGTATGTATGCCTGTCTTTTACGTATCTAACAATGCCTTAATTCTTTATATCTATTGGTTTCATATATATATATATATATATATATATATATATATATAATATATGTGTGTATGGATGCATACATAAGTCTGTACACGTCCTCCTATCTTTCCTCTGATCAATCGGTTTAAGTTAAATCACATCTATATCTCTATCATTCTATCTAGCTCGCTAGTTAGTTACATATATATAGTTATATATATATATATATATATATATATATATATATATATATATATATATATATAGGATGTACATATGAATAGACTGAGAAAGATAGATATATACTTCGATAGATATTGACTTTTTGAATGTATTTATATTTCTCTATTTCTCTAATAATGACGTATGAGAGTGTAGCTGTCATTTTTGCATATTCCATATTATTTGTACTTATCATTATCACTCTCTCTCTCTCTCTCTCTCTATATATATATATATATATATATATATATATATATATATATATATATAAAGAAAGAGAGAGAGAAATAGAGACAGACAAACAGCCAGATATTCAGAGAATGAGAGAGAGAGAGAGAAGGGGGGAGATAATTTTTTAAATACACTGATATATTGATGAACGATATCATATATAAGCTTTAAAATCAGCTTTCAAGTTCTTCATATCGTTTTTCATTTTCAACAAGGCTATCAACGCTTGAGAAAAGCACCTAACTTGAAATAAATATATATATACATAGGTGTATATTTACATGTTGATATACATATATATATATGTGTAAATATATATATATATATATATATATATATATATATATATATATATATATATATATATATATATGTATGTATGTATGTATGTATGTATGTATAGATATATATATGTGTGTGTAGAGAGAGGGAGAAAGAGAGATTGATAGAAGGAGACAGAGACAGATATGGGGACAGCGAGTGAGAGAGAGTTTGAATTTATTACACGAAAATTCGTCGAGCAGATGTTAAAGATTCAGAAGATTGTCTTGCGATAGTTATTACAAAAATAAACATTTGCCTATCTTAAAAAGTACAGATTTGAATTGTTGCACGTAACATAGGTTTTGTTTTTTCAAATGAAACTCTTTTCATCATCATCGTCATTAACATCATTATCATTATCATCCCCATTGCCATCGTCATCATCAATAACATCAGTCCTATTATCGGGTTTGCTCATAAAGTTTCTTTTGGAACAAAGCAATAAATCCACAAAGGGTGTGAAGAATGAAAAAATCTGAGAGAACTATCTCAGGAGGCAAACGATGACGACGATCGTTGTATTTAAATTTTGGAAAATCAAAATAGAACAGACAAAGAACATTATTTACATTATTCGGACTGTTATCCTCATCTTCATTTTCATTGCCATATTCCCAACGTCACTGCATCTAAACAACGCCTTTATCCAGTGGGACATGTGTCTTCGAGTACCCAAAGAGTTGTGAGTTCAATACCAGGCTACAGCAGTGGTGGACAGTTGAGTTAAAGAGAAATAACTGGGATATCTGGAAGAGGCATGGAACGTGGAACTACAACAATCTACCCCGGTGGGCGAAATAAAAGGTTCGGTTCAAAATTCCAACCACCTGAAAAAGGCCGGGGCGTACAAAGACCGAAAATGTGGTAATGAAGATGAGGATAATAGTCCGAATGATGTAAATAATGTAATAATACCTCATCTCAGAGTTATAGACAGATATTGACAAAGCACATCCTTTTTAGCCGTTTTTACGATCTCCCGAAGCGAAAGACAAGCGGAAAGAGAGGGAATTTAAACCGGTAGCAATATACCGGAAACCGAAAAAAATGTTTAGAGTGAGTTGCGCTACTTATTTTAAGGCTGATGACCATCTGCTTTAAATATTCACCTTCGAATTCTTAGTCCAAAGCTTAAAATTTGAGAAAGATGGCAAATTTTTAAAAGGAAACGGTGCAACAATTCCCAATGATATCATCTTTATCTGTCTATATTTCTGAGATGAGGTATTATGTACATTATTTACATTATTCGGGCTATAGTCCTCATCTTTGTCGCCATATTTATCACAACGTTTCGGCCGTTGTACGCTCCGGCCTTCTTCAGGTGGTTGGAATGTCGAACTGAACCCTTTATTTCGCTCACTGGGGCGGGGTAGACTGTTCTAGTTCTACGTGCCATGTTTGATGGATGTCAGTTAACAGTTATCTCCTGCTAATTTCCCTCTGAAAGTTCTCCACTGCCTTAACCGGGTATTGAACTCACACTCTTTCCACGTGCCTTTATCCCCATGTATCCTCAAGGACACATGACACAGTGGATAAAGGCGTTGGTTAGATCCAGTGACAGAACCCAAAGAGTGTGAGTTCAATACCCGGTTAAGGCAGTGGGAAAATTAACAGGAGATAACTGATAACTGACATCCATTAAACATGGCACGTGGAAGTAGAACAATCTACCCCAGTGAGCGAAATAAAAGGTTCAGTTCGAGATTCCAACCACCTGAAGAAGGCCGGAGCGTACAACGGATGAACCGTTGTAATAAATATGGTGACAAAGATGATGACAATAGTCTGAATAATGTAAATAATGGATATCTTCTTTTTTTAATTATTTTGTCCACTCTGATTTGCATTATTTCGCCAAACCTTTCCTCGATTTTATTTTTATTCTATTTTATTTATTTATTTTTTGCTTAATCTCTATCATTTCTGATCTTTCATCATTTTCCCGCTTGAGATATTTCTCCATTCTTCTCCCATGTTTTCACCTTGTATGCTCGATTTCTTTTGTTGCTATTTCATCTAAATAGTAGTCAAAGAAACCTTACTTCCAAACGGCCCGCCGACTTAATATGGCGACAAGGCTTCCTACTGCTTCAGTAGTTACCACTAGGAAACATCCCTGCCTTCGTGCCGATCCTGAAGATAACTGATTGGAAAACTGGCTCGAGAATCAAATAAGAAAGACAGCAAAATGGAAGACAAATATGCACAATGATCTAAAAAAAGGTTTTCATATTCTTGAACAATTATTTACCGCTGAATGAACGGATTTGAGAATTCCTCAATAGATAATTCATTAGGTTTCTTGACATTGAAAAAACGGCTCAACACAGATGATTTTCAGAAATCAAAGACAACAAGGAATTTTGGTATAGAGAATGAATTAGCGAAATATGCTAGTAAATATAAATATAATAGACCTATTCTCTCAGTAACGGTAGTCTTGGTTCTGTAGATTCAATTTTTTCTAGCAATGTATATCACTTGGTAAAAGATTTTACATACATCTATAGTGAAATTCTTAGAAATAGGAATGTCGTTCAAATAGTTCTAAGTCTCACTGAGAAAGAAGAGCCATAGCTGAACAATC